CCCGATCGTGGACTTCCTCGACAGCTGGAGGCACATCATCCCGGTGTGGATCCTGGAAAACATTCTGGACCAGCTCATCTTCCCCAAACTACAGAAGGAGGTGCGATGGGCAATCCTTTAGCGTGCGGTGTGGAAGCTGCCTCCACAGCCCCGGCCGCTACCCTTCTCTCTCTCTCTCTCTCTCTCTCGCTTTAGGTGGAGAACTGGAACCCTCTCACCGACACCGTGCCCATCCACTCGTGGATACACCCCTGGCTGCCCCTGATGCAGGCCCGGCTCGAGCCCCTCTACTCGCCCATCCGCAACAAGTTGTCCAACGCTCTCCAGAAGTGGCACCCCAGCGACTCCTCGGCCAAGCTGATCCTGCAGCCCTGGAAGGAGGTTTTCACCCCAGGCTCATGGGAGGCTTTCATGGTCAAGAACATCGTGCCCAAGCTGGGTGAGAGCAGGAAAGGCGGGCAGGCTGCTAGCAATTTCTTTTGGGGAGATGTGGGCAGGGATGGGTGGTCTGGCCCTGAAATCCCAGAGGTTGAGACTCTGGCTGGCCCCCACTCTTCGGCCTTGGTAAAAGAAGGAAGGCCATAGCCTTCACCCTCCACTCCCCACCAGCAAGGAAAGGCGGGGAGGATTTGGACTGGATGAAGGTCAGCTTATCTGCTGGTCAATGATCCTCGGATGGAGCTGAGGTAGGAATCATCCTCCCGAGAGGGAGAAGGCGGACAGCTGCCAGCTCTGGGGTGGTTCTTGCTCTCCTCCTCCCTGGCTCACTTTTGGGGATCCCCCTGCAGCGCGCGCCCCCCCCCCCATGCCAGGCTTTGCAAAACTAAGCAGTTAATTTCACCGAAATATCATAAAGGCTGGGCTGACTCGTTGGCTTGCTTGTGAAGGCGCTGAGGTGCTTGTGGGGGAGCAGCCGTGCTGTGCCCCCCACCCAGGAGGCCAAGGGTTGGTGGCCTTTCCTGCTCATTCCCCCCCCCCATTCCTCCCCCCTCCCCACAGGCTTGTGTCTCAACGAGCTGATCATCAATCCCCACCAGCAGCACATGGACGCTTTCTTCTGGGTGATGGACTGGGAGGGGATGATCTCCGTCTCCAGCCTGGTGGGGCTTCTGGAGAAGCACTTCTTCCCCAAGTGGCTGCAGGTGGGTGTCCCTCAGGGACTGGCCCAGATTAAGGGCCCCCAGGGGCTGGAGCCCCGAAGCATTGGGGCATCTTGGTGCTTGAACCCCGCTGCAGACGGTGGCCCTTCCCTTGTTCAGGAGCCTTTGGGTTACTGGGAGTGGGAGGGGCCCCCAGGTCAGTGGAGCTCATGGTGGGCTGTTGCTGAATGTCCCCTTTCTCCCCCCCACCCCAGGTGCTCTGTTCTTGGCTCAGCAACAACCCCAATTACGAGGAGATCACCAAGTGGTACCTGGGCTGGAAGTCCATGTTCTCTGACCAGGTGCTGGCCCACCCCTCCATCAAGGAGAAGTTCAATGAAGCCCTGGACATCATGAACAGAGCCGTCTCCTCCAGCGTCGGTGGGTGCCGTGGGGGGGGCTCTCAGCCCGATCCTCTCCTCCCACTTAACCTGGAGCGCTTCAAGGCCGCATCCTTGATGGATTTCATAGGGGGGGGCAGTGCACATGTGGGGGCTGCAGGCGTTCTCCTCACCCCTTTTCTTCTCCTGTCTTGACAGGGGGCTACATGCAGCCTGGTGCGCGGGAGAACATCGCCTACCTCACGCATACAGAACGCCGGAAGGACTTCCAGTACGAAGCCATGCAGGAACGCCGAGAAGCCGAGAACATGGCTCAGCGTGGGATCGGCATGGCCGCCAGTTCTGTGCCCATGAACTTCAAGGACCTGATCCAGACCAAAGCAGAGGAGCACAACATTGTCTTCATGCCCGTCATCGGGAAGCGGCACGAGGGGAAGCAGCTCTACACTTTTGGGCGTATCGTCATCTATATCGACCGGGGGGTGGTCTTTGTGCAGGGCGAGAAGACCTGGGTGCCCACCTCTCTACAGAGCCTCATCGACATGGCCAAGTGAGCCGGAGGAGCCGGGCCCAAAGGGCTGCCCCACCACCTCCCCCCCCCCCCCCCCCCCCCCCCCCGTCCCAGAAAATGCGTAGGGCTCCTTCTAAAAGAAAGGAAAGGACTGGAAAGACGCGGTCCTGACGAAGAGGACTTTTATTTGGAATTAAAGCACGTGTGTTACTCTGGTGTTTGTCTGTTAAAAGGTGCAGGCTGCCATTCCTTGGGGGGGGGGGGGCAAAGCAGTTCTTTTGGCAAATCGTTGAAGGGGCTTGAGAAAGTTAGGAGAGGACAGGAACTGCTGTTAATAAAAGGCACAGGGTTCAAGAGAATGTGTTTAATGATTACAAAAGTCAATACAAGGTTCCCCTTCCAGTTTGGGGGAGAAATCCTGGCATGGTTTCCTAGAAGGAACAAGGCCTAACATTGTTTTCCACCTCCTGACCCCCCCCCTCCCCCCCAATCCTGCTCTGAGCAAGCGCTGAGTCTATCCTCTGCTTGTGGGGTGGGACTTTGGGCTCCCAACTTACTTGCTGCAGCTCCCCCCCCCCCCCAAAAAAAATAAAAAAAATTCCCGTGCATGAGGGAGGGAAATATTATTGGGGTTTGCTCCTGATGATCTCCAGCTGAGCCTCTTCCGGGTAAAGGGGCTCCGGCCGGCAGGCCCAGCAGTCCTGGGGGAGGCCCCTCAGTTTCTGCAGAGGAAAGCAGTGGACAGAGGTGTCGTTGAAGACATCAGGGTGCTGCGTGTGGGGCGGAAGGGCTTCCTCCTGGGTCGCCTCCAACACCTGGGTGCAGGTGAGCACAAGGAGCGTCACAGGGCGTGGCGCATCGGCAGCCTGAGGCTAGAGAAGTTAACTGGCGGCCAAACACTGAAGGCCACCAATGGACTTCAGCTCTCCCCTCCCGCTGTGCGGTCCACACAAGGCCACCGCCAGCCACCCAAGGACCGTGAGCTGGCCCTGGCTTCCGGCTTGCACTTTCAGGCTCTAAACGTGGGGGCAACCAGGTCCCTCCCAGCCGAGCTAAAAAGGAAGACCCACCTTGGCAATGTAGCTGTAATTCTCACGGAAGACTTTGGCCAGCAGCCTAAAACGGGAATTGGGGGATGAGAGAAACCGGATATTACAAAACGTGGAGGGGGAAAGTAAAATCAGTCAGGCCTTTGTGCAGCTTTCAGCCAAAGCGCAGGACACACACACACACACACACACACACACACACACACACACACACGGTGGGTGCAGTGGGAGTCCCCCGTACCTCTCCTCAAAGCCCCTGAAGCTGTTCCCTACGACCACCATCTGGGAGAGGGCCTCCGCAGACCAGTTGCTCCACAGCAGGTTGTTGTACAGCGCCTTCCCACAGTGGATCATGTAGAAGAGCGTGGGGCCCTCGATGCTCCGCTTCCCCTCCTGGGCAACAAAGGGCATAGCAAGGGCTGCAGGGCCGGCCTCAGGGAAGAGACCCCGATTGTGGCGGCAGGCACACTCTGCCTGCTGACCCCCGCCCCCACCCCAAGTTCACCTCGTTCCAGGGCAGCATGGTGAAGCCGAGGCCGCTCAGCACCTCAATCTCCAGCGTGGAAAAGACCGGGTCAAAGACGAAGCACATCTCGGGGGGAATCTGCAGGGCAACAGCCCAGAGGGCAGTGACTCGCACCAGGGCCTCCCCTGCCCTCCCCGCCCCCGCTGGCAGCCCCAACCTTGAGCTCCTCCAGCAGCAGCAAGAGGAAGGCCAGCTGCAGGCGCGCCTTCCCGCAGGAGCAGAAGCTGCCCAAGCCGTAGCACACGCACCGCAGGCCCCCCGCTCTGCCCCCGGGACCCTCCTGCTCGGCTGCCGGGGGGCTCCGCAGGGCCTTCCAGATGGTTCCTGGATGAGGAGGAAGAGGCCCAAGCGGGCCCAGGCAGATCAGCACCCGCACGCTCCCCGCCCTCTCCCGGAGGCTCCATCGCAGCCTTCCCCTGCCCTGTGTGGGGAGCCCCGGGCAGGAAGGGCGCTGGGCGGGACGGTCTCCAGGGAGGGTCGGGGGCCGCTCGGTCCCAGGCCCCTTCCCCAGCGGAGCAAAGCCTCACTTCGGCTGGAGTCCCAGAAGTCGGAGTCCTTCAGTTCGGAGCTACAGAAGAAAGAAGGGAAGAACAGGAACTTCCTCTTAGGGGGGCAGAAGCGCACAATCATGCCTGCCGTCTCTATCCTATTGTCCCCAATTATTAGTTCCTATTTCTTGTATTTAAACATGTTTAATCTTATTTCTGTCATGTTGTAAGCGTTTGACAAAACAAATAATAAAATAAATAAGAAAACGAAGCGGAGGGCTTCAGGCAGACAGGCACTTGGCTCACAACACGCCTGACGGAACAATAGTTGAGAAGAAAAGGATTTGGTTCATTGACATTGCAATACCTGGTGATGCACGAATTATAGACACGCAGCAAGAAACAATCACCAAGTATCGGGACTTACAAAATTGAAGTTGAGCGACTTTGGAGAAAGAAACCGTGTGTGATCCCAATTGTGATTGGAGCAATACCTAAAGGGCAGCCGCGCTATTTGGAAATCCTGAATTTATCAGACTTGGATACCTTGATTTTACACAAAAACACCCCACCCTGTGTGGAGCAGCTTTTATCCTCCGACGCTACCTGAACAATTCCCAGGTCCTTGGTTAGAACTCGAGCTGTTGAGCTGCCAACCAGCCCCAAAGGCTGTGAATCTCACCAAAGATTCACCACCACCACCACCACAATGAACTCGGCGGGACTCTGCCCTCCCGAGATAGACTGCGCCAGCCCATGGAACCTCCACGGGAGCTCTTCCCCTTGTGGCTTTCTCTTTTTTTTTGGGGGGGGGGGTTGTCCTTACAGCGCCTCCTGCAGCCGCCGCCTCTGCCGCTCTGCCGCTGCCTCGGGGCTCTCGTCCTCGGCTGCCCCGCGTCGCCCCCGCCGCCTTCTGCGCCCGCCCGCGCCACCCCCGTCTCCGGCCATGCCGCAGCAGCAGCAGCAGCGGACGGCGGGGAGCGTCCCTCGGCGGCACCCGTCGCCGCGCAGCCAGGAGGGCGCGACTCCTCCGCGGAGCCGAAACCGCTTCCGCGCACGTGACTTCCTGGCGGAAGTGGCTGGCTTCTCCGGGTCTGGCTGCCGAGGGCGCCTCTGAGCATGGGCAGAGAGCCTCGCGGGGGGCAGGGACTCCGGTCCCCCCCGCCGGTCCCCTGCGACCGCCTCTCCCCCCGCCTGTAGGCCCCCCCGCGGAGGCCCCCCCAGCCCCCCCTGGCGGCCCCCCCCCCCGCTGACCCCCCCGCCCCTGTCCCGCAGGTGGCGCTGCTTCTTCCTCTACGACGCCTCGAAGGTGCGGGGCGAGGGCGACCCCACCCGCGCCGGGATCTGCTGCTTCCACCCGCGCCAGGTAGGTAGGCAGGCAGGCAGGCAGGCTCCCGGGCGGGCCCCCCGCGCCCCCCCGTGCCTCCCCCCACGGCCTCCCTCCCGCCTTGCAGGCCCCTCGGGACGAGCAGGAGCTGCTGTGCGGGCAGATCGCGGGCGTGGCCCGCTGCGCCCTGGAGATCTCCGGCTCCCCGCCGGGCCTCGTCCGGCTGCGGAAGCTGAAGTTCGCGCTGGAAGCCGAGGGCAGCTATCTGTGGGTGAGTCCGGGCTGGGCGGCAGCGTGCCCGGGGAGGGCGGGGGGGGGCGCCTCGGTGCGGGTCACTCTGCGGGCTCTTCTCTCCTGCAGGTGCTGGGCTGCACCGCCGACCTCTCGGACCTCAGCTGCAGGCGGCTCCTGGAGCGGCTGGTGGGCCTCTTCCGCTTCTACAACGGGCCGCCTTCTCGGGCTTACGCGGTGGGTCGCCCCCTCCCTGCCTGGACTCTGCTGACCGTCAGCGGGGGTGGGGTGGGGGGTCGGGGGTGGTGCTACTGCAGGTGGCAAGGCGTCTCTTGGTGCCCGTCTGCCGCCCTGCAAGGTTCCTCCCAGCTGGTTGTGCTTTTCTCCCTCCCTTTCCCTGGTGGCCCTCTGGCTAACCTGGGTTGGTTCCGGTTCCCCTGAGCCCAGAGGGCTGATGCTGGGCGGCTCCGGCTGATGGCCAGTCCTGTAGGGCCACAGGTGGTTCTACGCAACCGTTGCACATCATAAATCACACTGTGTAGCCGCCGGGGGTGAGAGCTTGGCTGTTGCAGGCGATGGATTCATCATCATCATCATCATCATCATCATCCCCTCGTGGGTCGCAACTGGGGGGCGGGTTGGAAGCCTCTCGGTGTCAGTTGCCCCTCCAGCTGGGGGAGCAGTTTGGAAAAGTTCCTGGCCGTTGTGCTCAATGTCGTATCGGTTTATGGTTTCTTCCAGCCTCGGCTCAAACTGGGTACACTGAGGCCAGCCGCGTTGAGCCTCCCCTTTCTGCCTTGCCGGTGGGTTTGGGCAGCCGGCCTCTTCCCTCCTCTGCGCCCACTTCTGACCGGGGTGCCCTCTGTCCTTCGCAGGAGCGCTCGCAGGAGGAGCTGGACCAGGAGTGGGAGCTGTATGTGAGCCACCTGCAGCAGAGCTCCAGTGACCTCCACCGGGCTTTTAATTCCCTCTGGGCCTTGGACAAAAGCAAGGTGCCTCCCTGGAGGGCTGGGGCAGGTACTTGCTGCGCTTCCTGATGGTGCAGCCAGGACTAGGAGGGGCCAGGTGGGATGAGGCCCCTTGGCTGCCCCCGGGGCCTAGGAGGGCCATTGGCATTCTCCTCTTTGGCAGGTGGACCCTTTGCTCTTGTTGAAAGCGGCCCTCATCCTGCAGAGCTGCCAGCGTTCCCGCCACGTGCTGGCCGGCTGCATCCTCTACAGGGGTCTGTGAGTGTCGGGGGGGGGCGGGGGATATAATCATCTCCCCAAGTGCTGTGTATCAGATGGGGGCCAGATCCCCTGTGCCCCACACGCCCCCTCCGATGTGAAGGCCTCCGCCTGGCCGAGTGGCCAAAGGCCTTCTTGTACTCTTAGATGACCCCGTGGGTGACCTCGCCTCCTTCCTTTTCCCACGCAGGGTGGTCAGTACACAGCTGCCACCTGAGCTCACTGCCAGAGTTTTGCTGCAGAAGCGGGCCGAGGGAAGCGTAAGTTGTAGCTGTGCCAATGTCCCTTGGAAGGTTTGGGGGGAGCGGGGCCGGTCATGATACAACCCCCGTCTGCGAAAGGCAGTCTTTTTTTGCAGCTTGGCTAACTCCGCTTCCATTCTAGAGTGGGCCAGACAAGAAGGCAGCGCAGCTCAAAGAGGGTAAGCTGAGAGGCTGGGCATGGCTCCCTCCGCCCTCTGGGCCCTGCTGCCCACTTGCCAAGCTCCTCCTGAGGATTCTGGGTGGCTCTTTCCTCTAGGCAGCCCCCCGGCCTCTTTTGTGCCGACACCTTTACCGCCAGGGGTCTGTGTCACACCTGTTTACCTCTTGGAGGATGAAGCAGCCGCCCTGCGGGAACTGCCTGTAGAGTGGACGACCAGGTAAGGCCAGAGTTGGGACGGTCCCCTTGGGCTGGGCTCTCCCTTGCGGCTTCGGCGACGCCATCAGGCTCTCCGAGGAGATTCCCAGCCTCACCTTCTCGCTTCTGTTGCCAAGGCAGGTGCCCCCTGTGCCCGTCCAGAGGGCCCCGCTGCCTTCTGGTGTCCAGTTCGGGCAACCCTTCTGTCCAGACACCCAAACATTCCCCAGGGGAGGCAGGGAGGCCCCCACCCTTCCAGGGGAGCGTGTGGGGGGGGGGCAGGAGGGGCCAGCCCAGCTCACCCACCTTGCTCGGCCCACACAGGAGGCCCCAGGGGGACCTGGCTGGCCGCAAAGGGGGAGAGACTCCCGCAGGAGGGGCCGAGGGGGCTGCCTGGGTGAGGATGGCCTTGTACGTTCACCCCATCCGGGACCTGGTGCTGGCCCTCCTGGCTGAAGAGGCCTTGGTGAGCTCCGCAGCCTTCACGGAGGACGTGGTAAGGAAAGGGCAACCCCCCCCCCCACCCCCGCTCAAGGCTCTGAAGGAAGCCGTTTGTTCAGGGAAGGGGGCCAGGCCGCCTGCCCTCCGGGACCCTTCACGTGGCAGGCGCCTGGAGGAAGCTTCCCAAGCGGGACTATGGGGGGGGGCTCCCACAAACCCTTCTCCCTCTCTCTCCCCCTCCCCCAAACTCACAGTACCACAGCAGCCTGGCCTCCCTGAACGGCCTGGAGGTCCACCTGGCAGAGACCCTCCCCAAGGGCCCCCTCCCCTCGGCCAGGAGCACCTACAACTTCGCTCACTACGACGCCGTCCAGAACATCCTCACCAGTGAGTGGGGGGAGCGGCTGGGGCGGCCTCCAGCCAAGGTGGGGGGCGCCCCCCCTCCTGCCCCGGCATCCCTGATGGCGCAATCATTTGTCCCTCCAGCCAACACCCTGCAGGCCCTGAGCCCCGAGGACCAGCTCTTCCTGCAAGCCACGGGCCTGATCCATGCCACCTTTGAGCGGCTGCCCACCGCCTCTGAATTGACGCTCAGGTAAAGCTGGGCGGAGGGCGCGGGGGAGCCATGGACGGAGCAGCTCGGTCGAGGCCTTGCTAGGCCGTGGCACCGTTAGCTCTGCACCCTCCACAGAGGCCGTGGTGAAGGACCAGAGCCCTCCCGCCACCCAGCAGGCCCTAACCAGTCAGAACCCTCTGCTTTGGTTCCACGCAGCTCTGTTGCCAGCCAGTCGCTGCTGCCCGAGGGTGCGGCTGGCGCAGTTGCTGCAGCCCCCTTTTCTGCACTGCTCCCCCAGCCCCAAAGGCCCCTGCCCATCTCTCGGTCTGTTCCAGGAATGCCAGCACCGCTGTCTACGGCTGCCGGAACGCCGTCCAGGAGAGCTACTTTCAGCAGAGGGGCTCGACGCCCTCCAACTCCGGGGTGCCCAATCCCCGGGACAGCATCGTCGGTCTGCCCGGCAAGGCCAGGCTGAAGCTGCTCAAGCACGGGGTGAACCTGCTGTGAGGCTGGACTCCGTGCCCCTCCAGGGCGGCCTCCGTCCTGGCGCAGAGGCCTTGGAAGCCTGCCAATTGCGCTTGGCCCACCGACTCCTTGCCACGTCTCCCCAAGGCCTGCCCGCCGTTGGCCCCGCCTGGAGGGAGCAGCGGTTCAGCTGCTTCTGCATCTCAGGGCCCTTCTGGCCTGGGGGGTCCGCCCTTGGGGGGGGGGAAGCGCTCTGCTGGGACTCCGCCCTCACCAGGGCCTGCAAGGGCAGCGCCCCCCACTTCAGACATGGGGAAACAAGGGGGGCCTTTGGAAAGGCCAGAGCGTGGCTGCTGCTGCCCCCTGCCAGAAGAAGAAGAGGGGGGGGGAGCTGCAGCAGTTGTGGTGGGGGGGTGTCCTTCCTCCACCCTCTCTGAACGGCAGAGGGTGGCACTGAGGGGAGCCTTCCTCTGCCCGGCTCTCACCCACGGCCCCGGCTTCCCCACTTCCGGGGCGGTCTCCCCCTGTGCTGAGGTGGGTGGTGCCCATGGCCACGCCCCTCTCTCCTGCATTCCCTGGGAATCTCTCTTTGAGGTGGGCGGGGGGGTCTTGAGTGGGGGGTTTGGGGGAGAATAAAGTGGCTGACTTTTGCTCTCTGGCTTTCCAAGCCTGCGTTCGTATTGAGGGCCCGGCCTGCACTCTCGATCCCCAGCTCTGGGTCCCCGACGGATGCCCGGCCTCTAGCAGGAGGGCTTGGGGGAGGGAGCCCGGCACTGGGCAGCCGTGTTGGAGTGTTTGTGTAGCAACAGAGGGCCCGAAGGAAAACCGCCTCGGCCGCCGCCTGTGCAGGCTGTCTGTCAGCCCAGCCGGCAAGGCCTCTCACACGGGAGCCAAGGGAAGCTCATCCTGGACACGGGCCGTGTGTTGACCCAGAGGGATGCCGGGAGCAGGGACAAACCCCCTCCCCCATGTCCCCCAACTGCCCCGTCAGCTGCGGCCCGCTCAGCCAGTGGCCGGAGGTCACCGAGTTCTGGTTGAAAAGAGGCCTGGGGCATTCCTTGGGTCCCAGCAAAGAGGAGAGGCTTCCTCTGCCTCTTCCTGGCCCACGAGGAGAGAGAAGGGGGTCGCTCCTTCCTCCTCGGACCACCAACCGCCCCAAAGGAAAAAAAAACAGAATTGAGCACAGGTGTTTTATTGAAAAGTCCTGGCCTTGGCCAAGCCACAATGCTGCCCTGCCCCGCGTGGCAGGTGGGGTGCAGAGTCTCACTGGAATGACTCTGATGTGTGAGAAGGAGATGGCCCCCCCAGCTGGGGCTCCCTTCCTTTCGGCTTCTGCCCCCACGAAGCCCTGAAAGCCCCCTCCTCGCCCTTCTGCAGGGAGAGCCCACGGCAACCCCCCGCACACACGGGTGCCCCAGTCCAGGCAGGAGCACCCCAAGCAAGGCCCAGAGCCCCCAGCGCAGGGCTTGTGAAAGGGGGGGGGAACCTGGGCCCTTTGGCTGCCCTGCTTTGCTTCCACTCACTTCTGTCGAGGGCAGGGGGACGACAGGATCTGGCCTGGGGAGGCCCACTGGTGTCTGAAGCTGCAGTGAGGATGGGTGACGGGGGGGCGGGGTTGCCTTTTGAGGAGGATCAGATTGGCACAACGAGCTTCATCGACGCCTTCAAGAACGGCAGATGCAAAATTCTGGGCACAGCAACGCACAAGTAGCGAGTGGACGGACACTACAGCAGCATTTGGCCTAATCACAGGGAGAAAGGGGGCAGTCCAGCCCCAAGCAAGATGGTGGGGGGAGGGGAGGCAAGGTGAAAAGGCTCACTGGGTACCAAATCCGGTGCAAGGGGAGAGGCCCCTCCGTCAGCTGTGGGTGAAGGGGGCCTGTGTTGCCCAGGCAGGAGGGCAGCCACCTCTGCAGAAACACGGGACCTGCTCTGGAGAGGAGGAGGAGAAGCACCGCGTCACCGTCCAGGAGCGAAAATGAAATCGAGGGCCTGGCGCTCGGCCGCAGCAACGTTGGGGTGCCAAAGGTCTACCATGAACACCGCACGGGGTCCTTCCTCAGGGAGGCCTGGAGGGGTAAGAGAAAGGAGGCTGGTCCAGGGGAGGGGCTCAGAGGTGGTTGCCAGGCTGGCTTCACCTGGGGCCCCTCTCCTCCAGGTAGCCCACGGGAGAGGGAGCGTTTGCGACAGCGCTGTCTTCAGCTGGGGTGGGGGGCTCAGACTTGCCTCCATGGTAGGCGGTATGCAGGAAGGAGTCGTCAAAAACCAGGCAGCGCCCTTCGGCCCAACACTGGGGCTCACCTCCCACCACCAGCTCACAGCCGCTGGGCGTCTTCAAGCCTGCAACGGGGGGAAGGAAGGCGAGAGGAAGGGCAAGGCAGGGCATCAACCGAGCCCACCAACCGGATGGCCCAAAGACTCCCCTCGTCCAGAGCTTTTATCCTCCCTGCTGGCCACAAAGGAGGCGGCCGCACATACATAGACACACACACACACACCATCGCATCTCTAGCACCCGCCTCCCAACAGAAGCAGTCAACGGGCAACCCAGGTTAGCCAGAGGCCTCCGTCTCGGGCAGCTGCCCGGCAGCATACAGATCAGGCCACGGTTGCAGTTGCCATGGCAGCTGCCCAGACTGGTGTGGGAGCCAGCTTCTGCCAGCCATGCAGATGAGCCTTTACTGTGGGGTTTAGAACAAAACTGGGTCTCTTGAATCCTGAACAAGTGCCAGAACGGGATTCCCAACTTAACACCGGCTGCACCCGATGCCACTTGCACAGGAGTCCATACACTGAGGACCTCGTGGCTACCACCAACGGCCTTTCCAGGCGCCCTGAGAAGGTTCCGGCTGTCAGGAGTCAGATAATGCTCCTCTCCCTAAGGCCACCCCTCTAAGGGACACTCAAGGCCCCCACTTGCCCGAACACCAGCCAAGAGGCGGGCAGTGGGGCTGCAGGACCTACCCAGGTGGCAGCGCACGCGGATATTGGTCGGCCCATAGTGCTCAGTGATGACGGTGCCGGGGCTCAGCACGGAGATGCCGGCGTTGCCAAACACGTTGCTGCCCACACAGGTGCGGAGGCTCCCCAGCAAGCGGTATGTCCGAGGGCACTTCCGGCAGTTCCGGGGCACGCAGGTGCCCTGGTTGACCAGGTAGAAGGTCAACCACTCGCCGCTGGGCGTGCTGTTGACCTTCCATCCGTCTGGCAGGCTGCAGTTGGAGAAGGCTTTGTAGAGGGATTCGAACTCGTACAGGATGGTCTGGAAGTTGCGCTCCAGCAGTTCCACGTCGTGTTTCTGGGCTTCCCGGGAGAAATAGGGGGCGGTGGGCAAGTCGGGCAGGAAGAAGACCTCCGGCCGCTGGATGGATGGCCGGCTGGCCAGGTAGCGGCCCTGCTCGCGGATGCCCTTGTGGATGCGGCCCATGCCCGCCCACGAGTACCGCTTGGCATACTCCTGCAGGTTGTGGTAGAGCTTCTGGTTCAGCCCATCGCTCTGGGCACAGCGCACGCACTCGGGGGAGCGGCAGTGGCTGAAGCCGTTCTGCAGGCCGGCCACCTCCACGCCCCCCTGGAGCACTGTGGCGTAGGGCCGGGGCTGCTGCTCCCGCCCCACTTGATAGCAGTACCAGACGAAGAGCGCCAGCAGCAGGGCCAGGGTGCTGAGGGCAGGGGGGTCGCAGTCCCGCACCGACTGGATGGTGGAGCCGATGAACTCCCTCAGCCAGTCAAGCGACCCACGGCAGCACATCAGCCCCTCCAGGGACATCTTGGCAGCTGCCGTGCAAAGCCTTGCCACTGGGGCAAAGGGAGGCCCAAGGAGGAACTCAACAGGAGAAGCTGGGCAGGACCTGGGCAGCTTCACCCGGCAGAAAGGCCAGTCAGGCAGCGAAAGCGTTCCTAGGAATCTGGGTGCCAAGGGCCCAGCTCAAGGCGGCCAATGGGGCCGCTCCCATTGCGGACCCGGGTTCCTGACCCGCCAAAGGGGTTTCCCACGGCGGCATCGTGTCTCTCGAAGGGGGAGCCGCTGCTCTGAGAACCTTGGTCCTCCCGCCCCTCCAAGTGCCGCCTCCTGCGGGAATCCAGCCTCCCCCTGGATCTTCTCGGACAACCTGCAAGGAGAACACACAGGGGCACTGGGGAGGGGGCTTCCTGCCTGCCCCATCGGCCCACCCTCACCCCATCACCTGGTGCCCCAGGAAGTGCTGGGACGCACCTCCCATAACTCCTGAACCCGAAGGGAGCCACACAACCCTTTGATCTTCCCAGGTTTGGGGTGCAAGGCAAGAGCCCGGAGGGTCTACCGGGCTGGAATCAAAGCAGCCCTTTCCAGTCCCAGCTTTGGTTGGCAGGGTTGCCTCCTTGCCTAGTGGGTGGAGGGTCGTGCCCTGGGAGGGACCCCGCCAGGGGCAGCAAAGGCAGCACTTCCACAGGGCAGGCTGGAGCCTCCCTCCACCTCCACATTATGCCACCCACTTAGCACCAAGGGAGCAATTTGTTAGGGATCAAGAAGCTGGTGAGTCACCAACTCTGAAGGCACCCAAAGGTGATCCAGCTGTGGCTTATCGGCTCAGGCAGGAAGCTGGGATGCCCGTTCATCCCTGAGAGCCGGAGCGGGAGCCGTGCCACTGCCCATCCCTGCTTGGGGTGGGGCATCCTAGCTCTTCGTTTGGGCCAGAGGCAGATGCCAACCTCTGCCAGAGCGAAATGGCCTGGACGGGACCCCTTAAAGAAAGCAGCAAGGCAGCCCCCCCCCCCAACCTGCAATCGCCAGCGCCCCTGGACAAACGGTCCAACGCAGACCCCAAGCTTGCAGCTTTGATTCAGTCTTTGGCTTTCCTTGGCCCAGTTGCTGGGGGGGGGGAGGTTCGGGGTGGGGGGAGCGCTCAGTGTCTCGGCACTGCCGCCCGGGGCCTCCCGGCGGAAGCAGCCTTATGTAACGCGATCGCTTCCCGGCTTGCAGGCAAATCTGGCAGGTCGGGAGGGCACCTCCGCCTGCGGCAAAGCCCCTTTCCTCCCGGGGAGGCAGCCGCCCACGCCGCCGCCCCGCAGCCGAGCCAGGCCTGCCCCTGCGCAGGGAGCGAAGGCTTTCCTGCCGAGGAGCCCCCCCTCCTTTCGCCCCGCCCGCCCGCCCACCCGGCGGGGCCGGGGCCGAGGCGGGCGGAAGCCTTCGGGCTCCCGGCCCACGGGGGCCCCGCCGCGGGGCAAGAGCCCGACGTGTGCCGGCCGGGGACCCTTGCAGAAGACCCGCTCGCCCCTGCCTCCGTCCCTCGCGCGCACCTGCCCGCCTAACCTGCCGCCGGGTTCCGCTCACCCGTCCCGACCGACCGACGGTCTGCTCCGGCGCTGGAGGCGCGGACCACAACTCCCAGCAGCCCGCCCGGCCCCGCCGGGGAGGGGCCGCCGCCGCCGCCGCGCGTCCTAGCGGCCCCGGGAGCGTGCGAGGCTCTCTCCGGGCGCGGCGCGCTCCTTCCGCCGGGGAGGGCGCCGCCGCCGCCGCCGCCGCGTAGGCAGCCCTCGCCGCGAGAAGCTCGCTTGCTGGCCAGCGCCGGCGGTGCTGATGCGGCGGCCGGGAGCTTGGCGAGCTTCGCCTCTGCGGGGCGTCTCTAGCCGCCTCGGGCGGGGTCGATGGAGCCGGCGGACGCGGCGGTTATTCAGCCGCCAAGCCGTTGGGAGCTCTGGCTGCAGCCGAGACCAGCGCGGGACTGGGGGGGCATCAAAGAAGCAGAGCGGCCGGCAGGGCCCCGGGGCAAGGCCGGCCTTAGCAGGACTGCTGCAGCCTCCTCTGAGTGGCGGCGTTCGTGCTCCCGACAAGAATGCCCCGGAGCAAGCACAGAGTGCCTTCTGCGTGGTCTGTATGGAAGGAATGAGGAGGCCTCTGCGGGCCCCCTCCGGAGGTGGCTGGGGCACTTGTTGAACTCCTGCAAGGCTTGGCAAGCCCCTCCGTCCTCTTCCCTGGAGTCCGCCTTCCTTGGCTGCAGCCTTTGAGGCTCTGGCTTCTTTCGTGTTGCAACATCTCATCTGGCACGAAATTCTGCAAGGCTGGCCATTCTTGGCTGGCAGCAGAGCAGCTTCTTGACGCGGCTACGCAGGAATCAGGAGGAGGCAAATCCACTGAAGTCTCTTTTTTGGGGGGGCACAGAATTTAGCTGGGGGAAGCATGCAGAACAATCCGTGCCTCTACCCATGGTTCCCAGTCAGCGAGCAGCCACCGTCATCCGTCAAGCCCTTCTCTCGTCCTGCCTGCCCCAGAGGGGCCTCAAGGCGCTTGGTGGCAGCTGAGGGTGTCTTCCCCCATGCGGGGTGTGTGTGTGTGGGTGGGGGGGCTACTCGTCTTCTTGGTCAGAATTGGGGGAGGCGAAAACTCTGCTACAGGCCTGGCTGGCAGGAGGCTGCCCGTTCCTTGAGGGCCAATTAGCCCAGATTGTGCTGTGGTTTCCCGAGTCTCAGCGGGAGGCTATGGAAGAACATGATGGGAAGTGTAGTCATCCTGTCCCAGAGAGGACGAGCCCATAATCCTCAGTGCGAAGCCCCTCCTGGGGGATTTAGCCACAAAGATCCAGAAGATAATCAATAGCAGCAAAAGGCCACAGGGAAGCTCCCCCCCCTGCCCCCCCCCATGCTATCTGTTGCTTGTTTGGGTTTCTGTCCTCGCCGGGATGGTTGCTGGGAGGAGGAAGATGGAGAAAGCCAAGGCTATGGGGGGGTGGGGTGGGGGGGCCTTCGTTCAAGGAACACCCCAAAGGGGAATGAGGGATGGGGAGGAGCCCCCTGCTCCCAGGAGAGGGTCCCACCTGGCCTTCTGAGCCCGGGGGCTGGAGGTGGGCTGCTTACCTTGGTCAGAGGCCGCATTAATCCCTCCGCTCTGGCATGGGGGGCGGCAGGGAACCGAGTCCGAGGGGCTGAAGACACAGTGGGCTTCCCGGCAGGATATTTGAGCGGGGGAGGGTGGCCTTTCAATCAAGGCCTCGGAGAAGAGGCTGCTTGGCCAGAACTGGCACCCCAGAATGAGGGGGCGGCGTTCCCCCAGTTGCTCTTCTCTGTCCAGCCAAGAAAGTGCCAGGCAGCAGAGCATTTGCCCCTGTACAGCGGCTCTCTGGGGCCCGGATGGGGGCACAGCCGGCCTGCGCCTGCTCTTGGGTCCCTTCTCTCCCCAGGGGTTCCAGGGATCCTAGCCGAGGAGGGGGCAGGAGCGTTGGAGAGCCCCCCGGCTGCCTCTGTCTGCGGAATGCTGACCCGGCCCCTTCCTGGCAACCATTCGGGAAGGGGAGCAGATTTCCTGGCTGGTGCCGCTGCAGGCCAGCACGGCCAGCCAACCAGTTTCCTCTTCCCCCTCCCCATTGCCCCCCCCACCCCCCAAGTGCCTGTGGCAAAGCTGCACTGGGCCAGGACCCCTGTGCCCAAACCCAAGGATTCCTATGGCTGCCAGAAAAGCAGCGCACGGGTGGGGTCTTCCTCACTTGAAGACCCCGGGTGGCTCTGGGGTGGCCCACGACCCTTAACGGGGAGGGGGATTGTTGGCTCAAAGCGGAGGAGCTCCTTTGCGGCTCTACGCCAGGGAAGCAGGTCCTGTGGCAGGAGCCGCTCTGCCTCCAGCCCCAAAGTCTGTGGCTTCCGTGGCCCCGGCGATGGCTCCCAGCCTTTCTCCCCTCTGACATGGGCGAGGGGTACGGCACGGATGGCCCTGGGTTTGTCTCAGAGCTTCCCTTGAGCAGGGCCAGCCAAGCCCCCAGGCGCCCCTCCCTGCCCTGGGCTTCTCAGCTGTGAGGGTGGATGTGAAAGTGCCAGCTGGACCCTAGGCTGCAATGAAGGCAGAGCCCACTGACCCTGCTGGACGTGTCCCCCCAAAGCTCCTGAGAAGCCCCCTCCCCGTTGTGGGAAAAGCAGGCAGGTTCTCTCTTTCCTGCTTGGCGAGCCCCCTTGCGAGAAGCTGCATGACGCTGCATAGATCTTGCATCATGAAGACAAGGAAGCCCTGGAAGGTTTGGGTTTCCTGCTAGGGAGGAAAGATCACAACTGAGAAGCCGTGTTGTTGCAGTGTCTTCACACTGGCTCAAAAACACCCAAGCTGTTAGGTGCCAACAGTCCCGCTGCTACGACTACCCCAAGCGCCATCGATCGGAGCAGCTCAGAGCCACGGAGGCCGTTTCCCTCTCGCTTGGAAACGCAGCACCGTCATTGGCAGCTTCCTCAATGCCGGCCCTGCGCAAGGAGGTCGTGTCGTCTTCAAAAATATTTAATCCCATCATCACACTTATAAAAAGAAGAGGAGGAGGAGGAGGAGGAGTTGTGTACATTTGCTTCTTGGCCCTCCGCCTTTCCCAGGCTTCGCAAACCACAATACACTTTCACAGGAGGGGCAGGAAGGGGAGGGGCAGCCCGTATGCTTTCAAAGGAGGGAAGTGCACACACCCACACACCCAAATCCTTGACAACTGCAGAGATGTACCAGCCTGGATTTCTAATCTAAAACACATGTTTAAAAAATTGTCATGGTTACATTTTCACTGTTTTTACAAAGACGGGAAAAAAAACAGCCCAATATCTGCCTCTATGTGTTCATCCACAGAACAAGAGTGGGCCGGAGGGGGGGAGAGGCAAGGGGCAACGTCTTCTGTCCTCGTTGCGTTTCCATGGAAAGGGGCAGCAGGGAGCCCCCCCCCTTCTCTTTCTCTTTCTCTCCTTACTACCAGGCTTATTCCATGGCAGAGGCCTCCAGCCTAGAGTCACCGGTGTGTGTGTGTGTGTGTGCGTGCGTGCGCAGGGGGAGGAGATGTCAGCCTATCTCAGGTATTCTTATAGCTCATCCGGCTGACCTCTGGCCCCTGCATTTGAAGCCACCTCTAGGTTCCCGGGGGCTCCTGGTGCAACCTGGTGGGTGGGTGGGTGGCAGTGCCAGAGGCCTCTCGTTGCTCTGCTGGGGAAGGGGGCCAGGTGGGTGGGACTCTCCGTCCTTTCTGGCAGCAGACCCCCAGAGGCTCCTTTGCCAAAACCGGCAAAGACTTGGCACGTGATCAGGGCCAGGAGGAGAGAAGAGGCTGCAACGGCCGTGTCCAAGACCCTCCCCCCTCAAAAGGTCCCCTGCCCTTCATCTTCCAGGCCTCCTCTTCCTCGCCCATCCTGGCTGCTGCCATTCAGGCCTCACACTCGAAATAAAAACGGCACAGGGTTCCCTCGGCTGGGCTTCTGGGTCTCCTCCCCTGGCCGCCAGTGGCCCGGAGCCTCAGGGCTGCTGTGTTTCCCTATGAAGGCTCCCCTTCCTTGCCCTGTTCATGCAGAGGCAGAAGTGGCACCAGCTGTGCCCAGAGGGGGCCAAGGGGAGAGCTGGGAGCTTTGGCCGTAGTGGGCAAGTCCAGTCTCCCTCCTTCGCCAGAGGCGGCCTCTGTTTTCAGCCGCAGGTTTGCAAAATGCATCCAGGCGACCCAGAAGGAGAGCCAAGCCAGGGCGTCCCTTGGGGCTGTCCGCAGGAGTAGCTGCCTTGCCAATCGGACTCAGCTCCATGCCAGCAAATCCTGAGCCCGGCACCCGCCAGGAGAGGCCACTGCAAAGACGAGGAGGAAGAAGTGGGCACAGCTGGATGGAAAGCGGAAGGAGAGCAGCGGGTCCAAGCTCTCAGGCAGATTCCACCCCGTCTCCAAGTTGGGCCCCTGGACGAGATATCGGGGGTGGAGGTCGAGGCGGGGTGAGTGTCGAGGGCTGCTTCAGATGGAGACCTCGTATTCCCGGGTTTCCTGTGGAGACAGAGGGGGCACCGGTCACTGAGGACCCGTTTGGAGAGAAGCTTGGGCACAAAAGACCTCGGGAGGGGCACCTTCACACCTGCCCGGGAGGTTGACCTGAAGGAAGGAGCAGCTGGGCGCACCCCTTGCTGGGTTCCCTTTGGGAGAGCAACCAAATACACACTTTTAGTAGAACGTCCTGCATTTTTTAGTTTTCTCTCACTCTGTCGTTTCTTTTTTTTAAATAGGGAAATGTGGACTTGAGCCCTGGCAGGCCCACCGCTCCAGTCACAGGGCGCTGTGGCTTTTCCAGCGGGGGAGAAGAACGATGGGGATTCCCCTCCCTGCCGTGGCCACGCTTAGGGCACTGGGACGAGGCTCCCCCCAGCCACACGGACAGGTCACCCTGCCAAAAGGAAGCCGCTTTTGAGTGGGATCTGGCTCTGCAACCTGCCCGGTGGCCGCCGGGGTGGAAGGGCAACCGCGGCCCTGGGATGTCCTGGCAGCCTCCATTTAACTCCCAGCCAGGTTTGCCGAGAAGAGGCAGCAACTCACCCCTGTCTCGAAAATTGGGTTGTCAAACTCCGTCTCCACCGTGATTTGGCTGTATGGATGTGAATACATGAGGGGCAGCCGCAGGCTGGAGTAGTAGCGGCACCTGAAGGGAAGAGGAAAGCCAGGCCTCCGTGGGTCAGGCCAGCTTCTGCCCTGAGCTCCCAGGAAGAAAAGCCACCAGGAGGGGAGAGCATGCGTGGCGGCTGTGCATGCCAACACGAGACCCTCCCTCCCTCCCTGCCTACCTCGTGACGTAGACATAGGCGCCCCCCAGCAGCAAGGAAACGACAAGAACCGGGATGAAGATGGCCAGCGCCATGTTGCCTCCCTCCAGGGACGTTTCTGCAGCAGCTTCTGCTACTAGAGAGACAAAAGGCTGCAGGGCTCCCTGGCACAGCCTGCCCCTCCCAGGTGCCTGGTTCCCCCGGGCGGCGGGGGGTGGGGGGGATGACGGACGGACTGGCTGAGGCTTACCTTCCAAGGCATGTTCAAAGCTGTCTTGATTGACTGGAAGAGAGGCAGGGAGTCAGGCGGTGGGGCGGGGGGGGCATGATGGCTAACTGGCCTTTGGGCTCCTGGCTCTGACCCGCCCCCAGCCAGACCCCTCCCGTTTTAGTTGCAGGGTTCCCGTCGTCAAGAGGGGGCAGTTAGAGGAGCCCTGCAGAGCAGCCCCGGGAGCCGAGGGAGCTACCTTTGCAGGTGGGGAGCGGCCCACTCCACCGGGAGGGCTGCCCCAGGATGCACTTGAGGGTCAGCTCCCCGAGCAGCTCGAAACCTTCGTAGCACATGAAGGTCAGCGACTCGCCTGGCAAGTACAGGCGTTTGTAGAGGATCTGGTACCCGTTTTCGGGCAGACCTGGGTTGTCGCAGGCCAGGGATTCCTCCGCTGCATGGAGGGAATCGGGGAGCCAGTTGGCAAGGGGGCCAGTCTGGTGGGGACTATTCCACGTGGCCCCCAGTCACCCTCTTCCACCCTCCCCCCGGTTCCTTCTTGCATGCCGGCAAACAAGTGAGGGCGTCCCGCAGGGCAGGCACGGGAAAAGCAGCGCACTCACACCAAGCCCCGGACTTACGCACGCAGCGGGGCAGCCTGGAGGTCCAGATGGGGGTCCCCGTTTCCCGACTGTAGCAGGTGAGAAGGGAGCTGCCCTCAAGCACAAAGCCCAGGTTGCAGGTGTACTGGATGGTGGTGCCAACCAAGAGCACTGGGTCCGAAATCAAGCGGGTCGAGTGTTCCACCTCCCCGGGGTCCGTGCAGTACATGACTAGGGTGAAAAGCGGGGGGCCAGGCTGGAGCACCCCAAAGTGCCCCAGGCTCAGGCCAGACCATCTGGCACCTTCCCCCCTTCTGCCTGGGCCTCAAGGTGCAGCTCTGGCCCTCCCCGTAAAACCGGGTCAAAGCAGCCGCCTCTCCTGTTTGCTTGCGAACAGCTTTTGCAAGCCCAGCCCATTGTGTGGCTGTGGGTGTGTTTTGTGTGTGTTTCAGAGTGACTGACTCCCCACTTACTGGCTGCTGCAGGACTTAGGCACAGCCTGCCCTTCTCCCCCCACCCCCGTTACCCTCTACAGCCTGGGGTTGCCAATCCATTTTCCAGCCGGCTCCTGCGGCTGTAGCAGCAGACACGGAGAGGGGGAACCAAGAAGGGCAGGCTCGAAAACTGGATTTCTCTGCCCCAAACTCTGGCTAACGTGGCAGGAGCAGAGTAGGAAAAAGACCGGGAGGTCTTCAGTGCAACTCCCAGCCGCACAGGGGATACCGCCTGGGCAGGGCCATACTTTTCTCGCAGAAAGGGGGGTCGCTGCTCCAGGTGAGGTCCCACTGGCAGGTGAGGGTGTCGCTGCCAACAATATCGTAGCCCGGGTCACACTGGTAGGTAATTTTGGCCTCCCGAACCAGCTCGGTGTGAGACGTGGTCTTCCAGCCGTTCTGGATCTCCGGCAGGTCTGAGCAGGACTCGTTCCGCGAGGCCTCTGCAGCCAGAAAGGGCCCCGGTGAGAATGGGCAGAGCGCCCCGTGCCCAAAAGGGGGGGACAGCCCAAGCTCACCCACCAATGTAGCTCATGGTGAAGCCCAGCCCCTTCCCGAAGAAGAGGCCGGCCGGGTCCGAGTGGAACTGGATGGTCAAGTCGGGTGTGGAGGAGTAGAGCTTCTGGGGGCCCCCGCTGCCCAGGAACTGGCCCAGGATGTGGGCACTGAGGTCGTCCCCGTCGTAGACCGTGAGGATGTCGCTCTGGCTCAGGTTCAGGCTGCAGGGAGGGAGAGAAGAGGGCGGCGGAAGGGCCCTGCTGGGTCTCGGCTCAGGGAGGCCGGCTCTGCGGGGCTCCCCTGGGATCAGCAGCTGCTGGCAGGGGAAGGGGAAGCGCTGGGCCTCCCCTCCCCCGGAGGGCCCCTGGCTGGTGAAAGGGGACGGAGGCAGCTGGCCCTGGTTGCCAGGAGTCGCTTATAAGCAAGATGGCGGCACCCTTTCCTGCTCTTGCCACCACAGATAGATTGCTCCTGGATAGGAGGGCTCTCGGATGCTGCAAGCCCAAGGAGCTGCTTTCCCTTGGCTGAGGAAAAGGACCGGATCCACAGCCCAGGTTGGTGCCTGGAGCTCCAAGGGAGCAGAGAACATTTTACTTTGGCTTGTCTCACTGCCTTCGGCTGCCAAGGCTTCTTCTGGCCGGCAGAGGGAGCTGCCAGCCCAGCAATGCCAATCTTTACTTGAGATTTGGCTCACCCCCCCCACCCCCCCACCCCAATGTCTTTAACTGCATTGGGCTTTTCTGTGCCAAGAAGTGGTCATTGGTGCTCCTGGTCACTCCAGCTGGGGGGGGGGAGGTGCAAGGAGGGGATGGGCAGCTCCGCCAAAGCATCTTGGGAAGCCCACCCTTCCGAGGCCAGAGAGACAGGGCAGTGCGGTTCCCTTTCAAGAGCAGCCTCCTCCCTCCATCAGAGGCCGCAGGCTTTTCTCGGCTTGCATGGATCTTGCATGGATAGGCCGGAAGAGGGGAAAACAAGGGAAGCACCCCCCAAAAGACCAGGGCCGCTGCTGCTGCTGCTGCTGCGTGGCTAGAGAGCCCTTTTATCAGGCTTCCCCGCCTTCTCTGGGCTGCCACAGGTGGGGGGGAAAGGCAGGATCAAAGTATCCGTCCTTCAGGCTGGATTATCAGGAGCCCCACAGAGGCTTCGGCAGGGAGGAATCCCAAGTGCCAGGTGCGGCTTTAATTGCCCGTGAGCGGGGTGGGGGTGTTGTGGGGGTGTGAAGCGAGGGGGGCGGGGAAGGGCTTGTGCTCCCAGGGGCTGCAAATCCTTTTGCCTGATCCGGTGCATTTGGGGGAGAGGTGGCCAGATCAGGGGACACCACCGAGCAGATCTGCCCGCACCCCTCCCCCACCCCGACACGGCCCCACTTTCACTCTGTAGGCAGACAGCAAGCTCCCCGGCCCCCCAAACAACCTTTCCCAAGTGCAAACCGTCCTTCCCCCACACTGAGTACAGATGCCTGAAATCCACTCACAGCTGGATGTCCAGAAAGATTCGCTTCTCCTCCCCCACGTGAACCTTCCAGACGCACTCCTCGCCCTCTGCATAGGGCTCCGGCCAGTTGGGGGACAGGATGACTCCAGCCGCCATGGAGAGCTCTCCTCCGCAGGTGGCTGCAAGGCCGAGAGTCAGGACGGCCCCAAGAGCAGCCCCCCGCCCCCTCCCAGGCCGAGCCCCCTGCCCTGCCCCCACCCACCTCGGCACAAGGGCTCCGTGTCATTCCAGTAGGGGTCCCTGAGGTTGATGCACTCGATGACCGCTGGGCCCTGCTCCAGGGTGTGCCCGGGGTCGCAGGTAAACTCCACGATTGCCCCAGGATTGTAGGCGGCGTCAGAGGTGGTGAAGTTGCCATTCTGCAGGTGGGGCTCGTAGCAGTGGCCTTTCTCAAAGGCTGGGAGGGGGACACAGAAGGGCAGGACTGGCACAGGCAGACACCCCCCCCAGCGCCCCCCTTCTGCAAGCAGGCCTTGCAGCTCCCCACCCACGTCTCCTTTCGGTGCAGGGAATGGGCCAAACCCAGCCAGGGAGCAGGCGGTGGGTAGAAGCAATTAGTTTGCAGAGGGGTGTGAACTGGACCCTATTTTTGCTGGGAAATTAGAAGGATCCAATTACTGTTCTGATTCCATCAATGGAATTAAACTGTCAAAAGGGATCCCTTTTATTCACTGTTTAGGTTCAGCATTTTTTGCAAGGGTCTTTTGTTCATGTGCAGCCAACCATTTTATCTTTCGACCGATCAGCCCCCTCCAGCTGGGGGCTTTGGGCGCTTTCCTTTGGCCCAGCCAGGCCTGCCGGGCTGGGGAGCTCTCCAAGGTGCTGCTTGCTGCCAAAGGGCCCTGCGGGGCACCGAGTGGGTCCCAGCAGAGCCCCGGGCATGCCTGGGGGGCAGAG